CAGACATCTCTCTCTGCTAAAGACCCAAGAAATTGCTCTGAAACAGTACAAAGAAGGTCTGGAGAAAGAAAAAGGGACAGTCTATGTCCCTTATCTAGGATTTAAGACATAAAAACGCAACTAATTCACAGAGGCTGAAATTGGCTCAGTTTACTCTTCTGCACAGGGGAAATGTCCTTTCCATCATGTCCTCCTTACAACAGAACCCAAGACACCACAAGGAATTGTAAGATGGTCTCCATATGTTCATTATAACTGGGTTTCAAACTCTACGTCAATTTGTTCTTTTTAAAGAAAGCTATCGCCTGGTCGACTGTATTGTTTTCACTCAAAAAAGGGAGCACAGGATTATTTTAGGGAATGGGTTTTTCATAAGAGCCAATGGTGGCCCTGGAGGTAACAGAACTCTTTATTTTTTTTCGTCACCAAACCAAGGAATTTCCCCTTTTATGTCTAAACATAATGCATGAGGTGAGATGGTCACCATTAAAGAATTTATTAGGTGCCCGGTTACTGAGCCTCATAACACGAAGCAGAATCTATCTCTAGTAAGTTTTTTCTCACCCCATCGTCTCGAATCTCCACCAATCTTTTTAGACAGGTTTTCTTTCCATGCTACTGGTAAAACCACACTGTCAAAAATACCCAAAGGCCCCACTAACTTCAAGGCTCCAACCTCATCTGTGTCCCCTGGAAAACCCTCAGTGCAAAATCAACCCCCAAAGCACAGGCTGTGTGTCCACTAGTCTGGTAGGGCCTGGAAAAGGAAAAACAGCTCTGGTCAGAGAGAGCTCAAGGGGGTCCCAGTGTTCCATCTGGTGCTCAGCACGGTGGGCTCGTGTCCACCAGAATTCCCCACAGCTGACCTGGGGTCAGGGTCTTACGGAGGAGGCTGGGTGGGTGCACCTTTGAGAGTCACATTTCGGTAGACCCTGGGTGCTCAGGGCAGGAGGGAGCATGGGATCCGGGGCCTGTCCCCACCTGGATCATTCTCCACTCTAGAACTTCAAAGACATCCATTAGGCTGGGCCCAGCTCTCTAACAGGCAGCTGGGGGGAGAGGTGGGGCCTTTCCCTGGAGGGCCCAACACTACAATGTGAGACATAGATGAAGGAGAGAAGGGGTGAGCAGGTCGTGGGGTGAAATCATCTCGTGGCCACCTCTCATCTGCTCTACCCGCCTTGGCTGCAGGCCAGATCCTAGAAAAGAGGACTCCAGGGCGAGAAGGGGCTGCGACTGCAAGCCTCTTGTCTTCCCCTCGCCTGGAACGTGGACCCACAGCAGGGCTGGTGTCCGGTAAACAGAGGGCTCCATTGAACCCCTGACTCCCAGACAGGCCTTCCCTGCTTCCCTGCTTCTTTCCTCCTCAGGTGGCTCTGCCTTGGAGGACTTTCAGAGTTTGAAAGAGATGAGCCATCTTGGCCAGATGGTCACGTACAGCCAAGTCCTCATTTTCTGCATTTCTGCCTTCATGGCAAAGTGGTAAACCACCAAGGAGGAAGACCCAGAGGGGGTAGGAAAGGGTAATAAATACTGGCTGGAAACCCTGGGCTGATCTCAGGGTTCCTTTGAAGGATCCACAGTCCAGACTTCGGGGTACGAATCCTGTTGCTCCTACAGCAGTTCAACCAGCTAGATACAGACAAGAAGTTAGTCTCTCTGTGTGTATGTCTGTCTCCCTGGAAAAATTAATTTTTCTTTGGCAGATGGTTGAGTCACAAAGACAGAAGGATTCATAAAATTCACATGAACGTCCTGTAAACATTTAAACACATCAAGATTAAATAAGGCAACCACGACCTTGATTGAAGTTAAACTCTTTTTTTTTTTTTTTAATGTCTACAGCCCTACAACCTGCAATTTGGAGGCTCACCTCCCCACCTCTTCTGACACGGTCAGCTCTCACTGGGCGTGTGGCGTGTTCAAGCAACTGTCTGATTAATTTGCTTTACAATGGGAAATTAAAGGCATCAGAAGAAAGCAATGATTCGGATCACCTAAACACAAGAACATTACTAGTTCTCTATTAAACTGGACAGACTCTATACAATACAAGAAAAAGTCAAGATAAAAGCCACGGACGGAAGCGCCATGTACCTGCTCTGTCTCAGCCCCTCCCGCTCCCTAATTGTTTCATCCCCACCAGAGACCAGGAGGTTTTGCTATGGTTGACAATTCTCACCTAACGAGGCGAAATGGCTTACTGAAGCTCACAAACAGCCTGAGAGGACTTGAGTCGTGGCCCCTGCAGCTTCAGCTGGAGCTTCGCCCCCAGACTGCCCAGCCCCACATCAAAGCTGCGCACCCCCCCTCCCACCACAATCAGCTTGTGAGATTAGCACTGCCCTCCCACGGCGAAATTTTATGGACCAAATCTGCCTTGCCACCAGGCTCAGCAGCATAATCTCACCAGCAGCTTAAACCCACGCTTCTCTAAGGCCAGAACACGGTGGGACTCCCAGGAGGGAGAGGTGATATGTAGCTTTAAACATCTGGAGGTGGAAGCATACACATGTCAGCTTCCCTGCACTCTTGTCAGGCTGTTCAATAAGCCGAAGCTTGAAGATTTCGCCAGTAGTGCTTGTTACCTAGTATAAATTTGCCCTTTCTTAACAGTGCTTTTTATTGCTCTTGGCTAAGAATACTGGACAGAGACGGGAGACCTGACTCGCAGGCAGGCCTGCCGCCTTGCAGGGGAACTTGAACTTGATGTGCACGAAGCTGACAGTTCCTTGAAGGCCTTGTCAACCGCCCATCCAGTAAACCCTGCCACTACCCGGAGTAAAAACAGAGCAAAACCCACAAGCACATACCCTGCACACCTGTCTCGAAGCAATTATTGACATTATCACTACACAAGGAATCGCTTTTTGAAGTTGTTTTCCTGATATTTAGCAGTCTGAATACTAATCCCCTTAACAAAACTGTCCCCATGCTTTCCCCCCTCCCCTGCCCCCCTAATCTCCTTCTCTCCAGGGAGGGCGGGGGCTGGGGACCAGTCAGTCGACTTTGCCGCACCTGGATTTGCATTGATGCCTCTCTTGTCATTCATGTTACCAACAGGAATTAGCATAAGGCATTAAGGGAAACTCTGGAGGAGAAAAGAAAGGCCATTTTGATGGAAATAAGGGGCAAAGGAATAATCTGCCATCAACTAAAATGCTTATTTGTGTATGGTTTCCCAAGCAAAGCTTAGAAAAAGCCTATGTTGATTTTAGTGTACACAAAGAAACCTTAATCCTTTCAAGGCAACTAAATCACCCCCAGAAAAGCAGCTCAGAAGAAAGGCACCCTGTCAGGGGGACGACTATTCACAACCAAATAGATGCCACAAATCACACTCTGTAAGTAAACAAAAATAAGAATGTGGGAAACGTTTGATTGGAAAGGGAAGGGGGGCAGAAGTGAGGGAGTTTGGGCCGTGGGGCGGGACTCTCATCAATCACTCTTCAACCTCCCTGAAGAGAGCCTTTCAGCTGGGTGAGGGCAGCGAGGGCCTGAACGCAGGTCCCAGGGCCAGCTCCCACTCTAGGGCTGATCCCAGAGAGGGGAAAGACATTCCAGAGCTTTTTAGAGCCACCGAGCAGAAGAAAGACGGGCAGCCTGAGGTCCCTGGGGGTGGGGTGGGGTGGGGTGGGGACAGGTGGTCACTGAAACACCTAAGACCTTTTGGGGCCCTGTCCTGCTTCGTCTCCTCCTCCTCCATCTCCCCCCTTCTCCCACCCGGATCCACCAGCGTCTACCCCATCCTCTTCCCTCATCAAAATGAGCAATAAGCAATTAGGCATTTTTACAGATGAGCACTGTATGCTATGAACTGCACGCATCTTCCTTTATTGGGCTTTTAGCATCATGGATAACAAATTGATACAAACTTTCAGTCCATCAAAAAATACGATGAAATATAAAACTGGAATACTCCATTATGCAATAAAAAAGATAAAAATTCAATGTGACAATAATTCTGGGAGTAACAGCAATCACAGAAGCACATACACCTCAAGGGAACTCTAAACATAATGTACTATTTAAAATTGCAGTTGGTTCAAATTCTAAAATAACCCAGGAGCTCAAAATAACTGCACTTGGAAATGCTAGCCACAGCGAACTATAGGAGGCCGAAGTGGTTTCGAATGTCTCCCCTTTATGAAGGAAGGCCCAACTCTGCTCAAGCGCTACCAAGAATCTTCCATGTAAGAACAGAACTGAAATTACCACAGAAAGCACACCTTTATTTAGCAATTACCATGCCAGCACCTCAATCAGGTTCTACGGTGAAGAGGAAAAGATCGAACAGTTTATGTAATTTATACCTTTCAAATTATACACCTTTGTATTGCCGGTGATTAGACTCCCTTATGTTTCATTATTTCCGACAACATGGCTACAAAGGAAAACTGCCCAGAAACCTATCAGCAATGATTTAAGAGAAGTTTTCCCTTTATGTACTGTTGTATCATTAGCCTCTCTTAGTCCGTATTGCAGTTTGGAAGAAATTAATGGGATAGCACATATTTAAATTTTGCCCTCTTGCTCGTTTATTAACTTTCCAGAAAGCCCACAGCAGAGTAAGGCTTGGTTTATGACCATAATACTGTGCATACTAAACACCCACTGGTTATTAGAGTCTGCAGAACAAATCAGCTATTTATAGCTCTCTGACTTCTGGGTAGTTGGTAAGTAACAATAAAGTTAAGGCATTTTGAGAACTATTATTCTCCATTACCGCTTCTTCCTACATTAAATTAAAGTCATAGAGATAGTAGTGATTTCTGAGTCACATCAATTTAAATAAGGATTCGGTGTATTCTGTTAAAATAAACTGTTCTTTCATACATCACAGAAGCATACAGATTCTGTCTCCAGCAAAAACACAATATATGAACAGTGGCTCCAGAATGAAAAAAAGAAAGACCATTTGTTTTTTACTCTGACTTCCTAGGCAGTGACAATGAGACAAAAATCAAAACCAGCCATTGCTCGGAATTCAGGTGTCTTACCTTTGTTTACAATAACAGTATTGAAGAGTTTTTCAGAGCTGGCATCTGATGCCTGAAAAACAGGAAAGGGGAAAAAATGTTATTATGGTCATTGATTTGTCATCAGCATCATCACTACTATGATTTTAAATCATTTCACTACATTTTTAGAAAAGCCTGACAGGGAGAGCAGCAATTTCCCCCAACCGTCCACAAGGTGGTGCTCTTTGACTGCATGAGATAGACCTGCAGTGCAGCTATGTGCTGAGGGGAAAAATCTGATTTTAAAAAACGTGTCCTTATTAGACATATTATCTGTGCAAAACATATTTCTATGAGATGATACACAAAGCAATTCAGCTCATTCACATAATGATTTTGCAATTTCGTTGACAGATCATTATTTTGGAAATGGTACTTTTTTCCCCTTGATATGTGCAGACATGCCTATTTTTCAATTTTCTTTCACAAACCAGAAATGCCTATTATTTAACGCTAAGCCTTTCCTCACTAAAAAGTGCTGACTAGCACTTGCAGAAATTAATTTAAAGATTCGTCCTATGACCCCCAAGATCCCTGTTCCTTCTAGTAACCAGGATGACCTTGGTGTTGAAAAAGAAGCCAGCTGACCTGGCCCACAACCCAACACTATGCCTGCCATCAGCATTATATCCTTTCCATTTTCCAGAAATAGTGTCTGCTAATTATTACAGTGGCTCGAGGAAAGTGAAATAAGCCTGTTTAAACAGCAAGAGTAAAGCCAATGTAAATTATACACTCATGTGCTGGAAAATAAACACAAAGTTGGTTTGGAGGGAATGCTGCAATGTTGCAGAAGCACGGACTATTTCTAGAACTTCTAGATAATTTAAACAATTGAACTGAAAATCGGCATCCCCACCATATAATTTGAAGATGGATCTGCATTTAAAGTTACAATGGCGATGTTGTGTTTATGCTATTTTTGCTTTGCAACCCTTGTAAATCACTTGTCTTTCACACTTTATACACAGAGACCCGTGTTTTGACAAAGCAAAGCATAGAATGTTGAATAAATATAGAGGGAACTATAAGAAATAGGGGGAGGGCTTATCTGAAGTACAACATATTCTGACTCTGGGGCTGGCTTTTGGGGACAAAGAAGATACTCAGTTTAGCCTTTCTGTGCTATGTTGATGAAAAAGATATTCTTGTGTATATCTGGCGAATGTATTCTAGTCCTCGATGCAAGTGATACAGAGAGACATAAAATATTTTTATTATGAGGATTTTTTCCCTTTCTTTTTCTTCTAAGCTTCCTCCTGTAGGGGTGTTTCGGAAAATTAATGGATCAAGGGAAAAAAGGAATGGATGAGTAAAACAAGTGTGGGACTGCATATACATTTACGCATAAACAGTTTAAAATAAATCCTAGATAGCTTTTTAAAAATTTTTGCAGGAATAAAAAATATGCCAAAGGCCTTCCTGATATCTTAAAGATAATTATATTAAATTGTATATGATAATAGCTTTTCATAAAAATAAGCCGCCAAAAAAAGTGTGGCATGGGGAAGGAAACAAGATGTCCATTAAACAAATCAAGAAGATTGTTACAAAGGCAAAAATGACAGGAATAGTGTCGTTACATTGTGATACCAAGTGAGATTTCTAGGAATGGGAGTTTCTCCTGCTAAAAACTCGGGAGATAAGAGTATTTCAGCTTTCTTGAGTGGAAAAAAGCATCTCTTAGTTCAAACCGGAAGAGCTCTGCTAAATTCATGGCTGAAAAAAAATTCCAGCTGATATATTTAAAAGAAAAAAAAAGCCCAAGAATGAAATCATTTTAAAACTGAAATAATTCTTGCAGATATGGGGATTGCTTATTAAGAGGAGTCTAATGATTAGGCCCAAAGAAACAGGAAAACAAACGACTGCACCCCAAATGCAGAAAACACGGGTAAGGAAAGGAAATGGCTCCCAACTGAGTTTTTATTTGCACTTGGGCTGTGTGTGTGCGTGTGCGTGACAGAGAGAGAGAGATCAAATAGGGCAGAGCTGCAGGTGAACAGGCCCTTTGGTTGTCTGAAACACCTCCTTGGGGCTGCTGCCTTTGTCGGCTCCACTGGGCTCCAGAGCACACCCTATTCTCAAGGAGGCGGCTAAGTGATCCTACTCTCTGAAGCGAACTTAGAGGATGTGATTATTATGATGCCAACCAGTAAGTTATTAAAGAAATAAGTCTGACGGGATATTCGGAGAGGCTTAGGAGCTTGCCTTCTAATAAAAGCTTTCTGAGCCCTTTAATTTTCTGAAACATGCCACAAAGCCTGAAAGGCTGGCTCTTACAACCGGGGAAGGGGCCCTCTCAAAAAGGCCTCCGCAGAAAAACACTCAAAACGACTGCAGTGGGACGCTGGCTAATCGTAAAAGGATTCTGGATCCGTTCTTTCTCCCACCCAGGTGGTCGAAACTATGGCGGACCACTGTCCTGAAAAGTCAGAAAAGAGCTACTTGGCCAAAGTCTAAAGTGGAAACTACAAGAAAATTCTTTACATTTCCTCCATGAACTTTCCAAATTCTTCTTCCCCCTTTCAAGCATTTGTGCAAATTATTTGGCTCCTTGGGTCTTAATCTTCAGGACGTTCTCTTTTTCAGGGTTTTTAGGGGAGAAGTCTGCAATTCCTTGCATTCCCTGGGCCATTTTCCTGGCTGATTTTTTTTTTTTTTTTTACTTTTATTGTTATTTCTTTTCACCAGGAACGTCTAATGGAAACATGGTGAGCGGAGAGTTAGCAGGCTAGTGGAGCTTTCCCGTCTGTCCCCCCTCCTTTTTTTTAAACACAGGGGTACCTTTACACGGTAAGGACTTCTAGATTTTACCCTCATTTCGTTTCATCCCCCTGGCTCGGTTTTGGAGGGTGAGGGCGGGAAGTGGCTGCATCTAAAAATGACAGAAAAACAAAGCTCTCTCTTGGCTGCTTTTTATTGCGGGGGAGGGGGGGTAGATTTTTTTTTTAATACTAAAAAATTATTAGAGCCGTAGTTGGTGTTTAGAGAAAAGTTAGTAAGTCAAACAGATTGGAGGAAAGAGCGCGGAGAATGAGACAACGAATAAAAAGCCTTCCGAGCAGACGGGGGTGGGACGCGGCCGCTCGGGTTCGGGGGCCACCTTCATTCCCTCCGGCCGCAGACCCCGGGGAGCCCTCCGCACCCGCACCTCGGGAAGAGGGGACTTCCCAACAAGAAACGAAAAGCCTCCTCGAAACTTAAGCGCGAGTTCTTTCAGCAGCTGCCGCCGAGCCCGAGCCCAGACCTCCTTTGGCTTCCCTGGACACCGCGTGCCGGCCGGGATCCCGACTTCCGAGCGGCAGCGCCACGCCGCTCCACGGTCTCCGGCCCGAGCGGGCGGCGGGCCCCGGTCCCGGGTCAGCCGGAGCCCCTCGGGATGGGAGGCGCCGGGCCGGCAGAGC